GCCAACACAGATCAGAGAATCAAAGACAACATATGCTTTAATGAAGAACCAGTGGGGGCGGGTCCCGGCTCAAAAATGTCCAATATGGCGTGCTCTGACATGCTGCAATACCATGCCGGGCCATTGGGAGTGCACCTGGAAAAATATTTATTCAATGCTAATGCAAATATAATCTTCTTTCCTCTCGAAACTTCTTTACAGGATGGTCCAAAAGTTTCTCTTGGTCCAAAGCTATGTATTGTTGTGGACCAGTCTTGTTTAGATGCTGTGGACTTTAGAATGCACTCGTTTAACGAAGGAGGCTGGTGCAGCTGACGAATGCGCAAATGCATTTTCACATTTTCCAGCCCCCGCGGCCATTTTGCAAAGCCCCATAGAAGGTGAAAGTGATGTCACATTAGTTTGAACAGGGGAGATGGGCGTGGTCCATCAAGGGCAGATGACCAATGTCCATTATATTCCTACGAGATCCCAGGAGTTTTAATAAAATATATTCAAACTTGAGTGTGTTTTGATGTTAATTCGATTCTTTAATTTCAACATATTTCAAGACCTAACCCTAAACCAACCTACAGACAGATTAATCTTAATTTGGCAAGTACCTGAACATGTTTTCCTATGTTCTAATTCTTATAAAAATGCCTATTCATCATGAAATATTCTTTTTGTTTTCATTCCCACTGTTTCAATACAGCTTGGGCCTTTCTCCAGCACACAGAAGAAACACTGGCCTGCCTCTGATCCCTCCTCTGTAAGTGGGAACAGATGCTGGGCTGAGATTCTCCATTTGTTTGTGGTTATGGACAAAGTAATCTACATTTTTTCATTGAAGGAAAAAACAGAGCAAACTATTTGTTGGGAAACATGGTGGAAAAAGGAGTATTTATGCAGTGATTTGTCTCAAAAGTTACTCACTGTCATGTCTTCTGTCTCGCTACAGTCTGTGCCCCAATAAAGGCAGGAGACTGTTTTGATTTGTGGCGACGGAAAGAATTGTGGTGACTCTGCATTCGTGGCTCTATCTCTGCTCCTCACATTCTTATCCAGATCTCTGCCGCTCTGTAAGGACATGTTTTGTTTTGTCATAGATAAGATAAACTTTATTGATCTCACAAAGGAGAAATGTACACAGGCATCATGGAGCCTACAGCGTCACACCGACCTGTGAATAAAGAAAGAGGTTTAAGCTAGAATTACACACAATACAATGCATCTGATATAGACTTTTATATCTTTGATATTTTTTCATTATTTGTGTTATTTTTCCATTGATCCATTTTCTTCCCCTTAATCCAGTTCTGGGTCGGGAGTGGCAGTCAGAGCTGAAACCAGTACACATAGCACCAGGCCCTCACTGATCCTCATGCAGGTGCTGAGTCCACAAGAGCCTTGATTATTCAGCGGGAGCTTCAGGCAAAGTGCGGTTAAGTGTCTTGCCCAACTACACAACCACAGCAGACAGCAGTGGGAGTCGTGAAGTAGGTCTTACGGTGGGCTTGAACCCACAACCTTCAAGCCCTGAGCGAAAATTTAGACTGAGAGACGAACTGAGAGTGAGTCCTCCCTCTGCTACACACCTGCACCTGTGCTCATCAGCATCTCTTCACAGCTGCCTCTCAGTCCTGTTTGTGCAGCAACCCACCTCCTCTCCATCACCACCCAAATCTGTGGAAGAATCATCACGTTGTGTAGACGGATACTCTGCAATGCACTTCGCGAAAACGACCAGGCTTCTTATTCAAAGTTTGCAGCGTCAGCACGACGGAAAACAATGTAGTTGTAGCTTGCAGCCAGTAGGGGGCAAGAACCAACATCATTCTGTAACAGCAGCAGAGGAAATGGGAAGTGAAACTACAGCACAATGAAGGACCTCTTGATCTCAATATTTGCTACTTAAAAAAATCTGATGTCCTTGAGTGTTTGATGGATTTCTGAGTGCACTGTGTAAATCAAACCCCCCAAAGCTTTGATTCCGTACAGTAGAACATTCTGGAGATATAAGGTAAAAAAACGAACAAACTGCAAACCATCTGCAAAAGTGACCACAGCCTTTTAGTGCTTTCACCAGCTGACACACACACTCTGTCCGACACTGACCTCTGCGTATGGACACACACACTCTGTCCGACACTGACCTCTGCGTATGGACACACACACTCTGTCCGACACTGACCTCTGCGTATGGACACACACACTCTGTCCGACACTGACCTCTGCGTATGGACACACACACTCTGTCCGACACTGACCTCTGCGTATGGACACACACACTCTGTCCGACACTGACCTCTGCGTATGGACTGTTATGGCTTGGCACTGAGCCACAACAAGAATAGGGGAGACGAGGCGGAATTAAGTGCTCACAAAGTATATTTAATTGAGTAAACGGAATAAAGCATATTAATATATACAAAAAGGTAAAGTATGGGGTGTGTTGTGTAGAAGTCAGTGGTGTAGGTGCAGGTGATGCTTGTGTGCAGTGAGGGTATATGTGCGATGTGAATGTGGGTGCATAAAACAAAAGACAAACTTAATAGTGCATGTGGAAGAAGAGCCAGGGAGGAGATGCTTCCAGCACCAGGGCAGGTGTAGAATGGCCCTCAGGAGCGCGCAGAGAGAGCGCGTGCACGTTGCCTCCAGGCTATATGCGCGTGCGCTGATTGCATGCGCGAACACGCCCACTGCTTCAGCGCCAATCGGTCCCCCTGGGCAGACAAGAGAGGAGCGGCAGGATGGAGAAATGGGCCAGTTCCAGGACCCCCATAAGGGCCTAGTCGGTAACAGGACACACACACTCTGTCCGACAGTGACCTCTGCGTATGGACACACACACTCTGTCCGACACTGACCTCTGCGTATGGACACACACACTCTGTCGGACACTGACCTCTGCGTATGGACACACACACTCTGTCCGACACTGACCTCTGCGTATGGACACACACACTCTGTCCGACAGTGACCTCTGCGTATGGACACACACACTCTGTCGGACACTGACCTCTGCGTATGGACACACACACTCTGTCCGACAGTGACCTCTGCGTATGGACACACACGCTCTGTCCGACACTGACCTCTGCGTATGGACACACACACTCTGTCCGGCACTGACCTCTGCGTATGGACACACACACTCTGTCGGACACTGACCTCTGCGTATGGACACACACACTCTGTCCGACACTGACCTCTGCGTATGGACACACACACTCTGTCCGACAGTGACCTCTGCGTATGGACACACACACTCTGTCGGACACTGACCTCTGCGTATGGACACACACACTCTGTCCGACAGTGACCTCTGCGTATGGACACACACGCTCTGTCCGACACTGACCTCTGCGTATGGACACACACACTCTGTCCGGCACTGACCTCTGCGTATGGACACACACACTCTGTCGGACACTGACCTCTGCGTATGGACACACACACTCTGTCCGACACTGACCTCTGCGTATGGACACACACACTCTGTCCGACACTGACCTCTGCGTATGGACACACACACTCTGTCCGGCACTGACCTCTGCGTATGGACACACACACTCTGTCGGACACTGACCTCTGCGTATGGACACACACACTCTGTCCGACAGTGACCTCTGCGTATGGACACACACGCTCTGTCCGACACTGACCTCTGCGTATGGACACACACACTCTGTCCGACAGTGACCTCTGCGTATGGACACACACGCTCTGTCCGACACTGACCTCTGCGTATGGACACACACACTCTGTCCGGCACTGACCTCTGCGTATGGACACACACACTCTGTCCGACAGTGACCTCTGCGTATGGACACACACACTCTGTCCGACAGTGACCTCTGCGTATGGACACACACACTCTGTCCGACACTGACACACACGAGTTTGCTAGTTTTAAAAAAAATTGTTTTATTTAACCATGTACAAGAGAAGGTTTTTCCCATCTGCAGTCATTGCTCTAAACAACCTGCACACATTATGAACTGTCCTGTCTTTGCTACATTCATATTAAAGGAGCTATACCCGTTTCTGCAAGGTCTGAATGTTTAGCCCCGCCCCCAACTCGCTCACAGGCTTCTCATTTCCCCGACGCTCTCCTCCCACGGAGCCATCTAGTTTTATTTGCAATCTATGTGCTAACATTAGCATGAGCACAACAATCACTGATGAAATGGTATAAAAACAACGCACTGCTAACAAAATATATAACTGAAAGATTACCGCTAGTTTCACGTCCAAATGTCGATAGTCCGAGCGTAGATAGTCCAAGCGTAGATAGTCCGAGCGTAGATAGTCCGAGGCGGTCCCACAGGTCTCTCCCACAGACTGTCTCTCCAGAGGATACAATGTAAATTCTGCTACTGTGTTTAGCAGCACTGTAGAGGCTAGAGGACTACTCAGCACTTTTTACGCCTGAATTCATAACAAGCTGAATTACTGAGCTCAAGTTTTCAATTAATTACGGATTATAATATAACTTGTGCATTTTTATGAACTCATGAAAAAAAAATCCGGTATAGCGTTTTAATGAATTACCTTTAAATGTGCCGTGTTGAAAGACAAATGTCCGCTCAATTGAACAGACAATAAAGTTCTATTCTTTTCTATTCTAACCTTTATTTAACCAGGAAAGTCCCATTAAGATTAAGAACCTCTTTTTCAAAGGAGTCCTGGAGAAGACGCAGCAAAAGTTACACACAGTTAGAGTTACTGTATAAAACAGTCGCATGTCAACAAGGACGTCTCAAGTGTCTCTCAATCTGGACTTAAAAGCGTTAATTTTCAGTCCTTTTGCCACACGTTCCATGAAAAAGGAGCAGAGTTTACCAAAGAATTTATTTTCCCCCAGTTCTGTACAAAAGGAACAGAGAGTAACAAAAGATAATAATCTGTCTGTGTGAGTAAATGACAGATGTAAGACGGGAGTAGAACCAAGCACCAGAAAAGAGAAGGCCCTAACCCGAGAGTGTCAAGACTTTCCCATTAGGGGCGACAGTAGCTCAGTTGGTAGAGCATTGGCCTTTGAGCCCGAAGGTTGTGGGTACGAGTCCATCACAAGACTTTCTCCACCGACTCCCACTGATGTCTGCTGTCGTTGTGTCCTTGGGCAAGACACTTAACCTCTGGGAACAGCAGGTGCCACAGTGGGGCGGCTGCGGCTGTAAAGTGCATAACTGTGGTTGTGTTCTTAGGCAAGACACTTCACCCCCATTGCCTAGAATGAGTCTGGTGGGAGGGGCTGATGACACTGTCTGGTTGCCTCGCTTCTGTCAGTGTGCCCCAGGGCAGCTGTGGCTACAGGAGTACGCTGTGTTTGGAGTGAAAGAATAATGACATGTGAAGCGTCTTTGAGTGTCCAAACCTCGTTCAAACGCACACAACAGGAAACCACAGGCATTCTCCTCGTTGGCCCGAGCGACGGGAAAGAGCTCAGAGCAGATTGAGACGTGAGGCTGGCTTTGGGGCTGATCCATCACACACACGTTACAGACACTGGCAGGAGACCAGACCAGACCAGACCAGACCAGACAGAGAAGCGCTTGTTTTTGATGCACGGCAAATAAAAAGGACAAATTGGGAGCTATAAGCATTTGATTATATTTGTTGATTTTCTAAAGCGGGGGTGTCCAAACCTTTTCACTAAGAGGGCTTCTTCAATTCACCAGACATGTTCCCAGTGTGCAAAGGACAAGTACAAAAAGAAACAAGGTTAAAGTACAGAAATAAAACTAATTTAACAAGTGCAGGAATCTATTGACGCTATGAATTCGATCAAACAAAAACAGTTTCAACATCATTAAAGTGATTTCTTTAAACTGATAACAGCGTGTGGAAATCAGATATTTTTCCATTCACACACATTGATGACGGAAGCGAGACGCCCAACTCACCAAGCATCAAAGCCCCAATCAGCCCCAATATTCACTCACTACATTCAGAACTGTTGTACATGTTTTTAGCGGTAGGGGAAACCCGAGCACCCAGAGAAAACCATAGCAGGCACGAGGAGAACATGCAAACTCCACACAGAAAGGCCCTGTTCTGACCGGGATTCCAACCCAGGACCTTGCTGAGAAGAGAGAGGTCTAACCACTCAGCGACCGTGCCGCCCTCAGTGCTTCAGTTGCTACAATAATGTCGAATATATAAAACCTTGGGAAAATGTCTCTGGGAACGCCTTGGGTTAGGGTGAGATGGAGGAAGTGTGTGTGTGAAGCAGAAGAAGGGGAAGAAGAAGAAGAAGCAGAAGAAGCAGAAGAAGAAGCAGAAGAAGAAGAATAAGGGGAAGATGGAGAAGAAGCAGGGGAAGGAGAAGAAGCAGAAGAAGGGGAAGATGGGGAAGAAGCAGAAGAAGCAGAAGAAGAAGAAGAAGAAGCAGAAGAAGAAGAAGAAGAAGAAGCAGAAGAAGAAGAAGAAGGGGAGGAAGCGGAAGAAGGAGAAGAAGCAGAAGAAGGGGAAGATAGGGAAGAAGCGGAAGAAGAAGCAGCAGAAGAAGGGGAGGAAGCAGAAGAAGGAGAAGAAGCAGAAGAAGGGGAAGAAGCAGAAGAAGCAGAAGAAGGGGAAGAAGCAGAAGAAGCAGAAGAAGGGGAAGAAGCAGAAGAAGCAGAAGAAGGGGAAGAAGCAGAAGAAGCAGAAGAAGGGGAAGAAGCAGAAGAAGGGGAAGAAGAAGAAGAAGAAGCAGAAGAAGGGGAAGAAGCAGAAGAACAAGAAGAAGAAGAAGAAGCAGAAGAAGGAGAGGAAGAAGAAGAAGAAGAAGAAGAATAAGAAGCAGAAGAAGGGGAGGAAGCGGAAGAAGGAGAAGAAGCAGAAGAAGGGGAAGAAGAAGAAGCAGAAGAAGAAGAAGCAGAAGAAGAAGCAGAAGAAGGAGAGGAAGAAGAAGAAGAAGAAGAAGAATAAGAAGCAGAAGAAGGGGAGGAAGCGGAAGAAGGAGAAGAAGCAGAAGAAGGGGAAGAAGAAGAAGCAGAAGAAGAAGAAGCAGAAGACGGGGAGGAAGCGGAAGAAGGAGAAGAAGCAGAAGAAGCGGGAAAAAATGGAACATAAAACCTTGAGGAGCAGGAAAGAGAGCTGATTGGCTGAGAGATGGTGGTCCTCACTTTGTCACTTTTCTGTCTGAAAAAGCTTTTCTAAAAATGTGACAGAGGCTCAGATATTCATGAACGTGGAAACTAGTGAAAAAACACTTTTCAGAGGAAGAAGCGGATTTGATTTTCATGTTTTCACTTTAGCGGTATTTTCCAGAGCAGTAAAAGTGCAACTCTGCATCTCACAGTGAACCGCTCCTGACCCTCGGATCACAGATGTTTACGGAGCCATTTCAACCTCTGGGTTTACGGAGGTTTGTCTGATTGTGGGGTGAGCTCATGCCACAGGAAAGTACACGGCCGTTTCCACAACAAAAGATTTAAACAGTCCATGTTTCCTCCTCACGCTCCGCAGAGAAAGCTTTGAACGAGGAGCCAATCTTCACAAACAGCTTTAAGTAAGTTTAGTTTTGTGCGTCGTAGTGAAACTCTTCCCCTCTGCCTCACACTGCTGTTATGAGGCAGATGTGGACGCCCAGAAAAGGTCTGAAATCAGTGCTTATTTTAGTAAAGTATTCAGCCGTTCGATTTAATTTAGCTCAGAACTTACTCTGAGCTTTTGTACACTGCAAAAAATGATCAAATATCAGGGAATAAGGACTGGAATTGAGTGATTTTTATCTTGGTTTGAGTTCATTCTGTGTTAAAAAAAAAGATTCTCCAATGAGACAAAGCCGTTTAGTCTGATTTAGTCAAAAACTGTTGCTTTTTCTCATTTTCTCATTCGAAGGGAGACATTTCTGTATCTTTTTAAAACAATAATTTTGCATTGTCCCGTTGGAAAATCTAGTTTAAGGCTCAGTCAGAACGTGCTCAAACTAAGAAACATGTTTGACACATTTTTTATCCCTTTTTGCAGTGAATGATGTTATAGTTAAGAGTCAATGAAAGTGCATTCAGAGCAGATTAGATTAGATTCAGATGTGGATCTAAGTTTATAGAAACAGACACAAGGTTCTTTCTTTGGTCTCAGCTTTTCTGAAAACACCAGAATGCCACTGTTAATTCTTGCTTCTTCATTTTTCTAAAGTTGGATTTTAGATTACTGTCTTTTTGGGTTAAAGCTAGAGATTTTATACTTGCTTCTTTTTCATTTCTTTTTTTGCATAAAAGTGTGTCTCAAACGTGAAATATCCTCTTTACCTGAATTATTTTCTGCTTTGACAAGACACCATCATGTAGTATTTATAGAACAGTATATAAAAGTAACATTTTACTGATAGATTTACTGAGTTCAAAAGCCTAAACTATAAATCAATCTCGGATCTTTTACATTTTACGACGCCACAGGGATAGAGATTATAGATGTGTAGGAGAACAGTGTCCTCTAGTGGTAAATACTAGATATTACAGTTAGTAACAAATGTATTCAATAATGGACATTTGTCTTTATTGTCTTAAGAGAAAGTACAAAGCACTACTTTGAAATCCCTTCAGTTGGATTACAGTTACTATTACATGTATTAGTTACTTTCAGAACTCTCTCACAGGTTTTGGTGATCAGTCAGGTCAATCAATCAGTAGTTGTTTACTGTTGTTGATTTGAGAATAAGACAAATGTAATCAAACAAATCAATGTAACTTATTCCATAATACAATAATCACTAAAATAACTAACTATAACTAATATTAATAATAATAATGCATCTGTTTAGACAGCACTTTTGTGGACACTAAAAGACACTTCACGTCATTATTCTTTCACTCCAAACACAGCTGCCCTGGGGCACACTGCCAGAAGCGAGGCAACCAGTCTGTGCCATCGGCCCCTCCCACCACTACCAGCCTGGTAATGTGGGTGAAGTGTCTTGCCTAATCACACAACGGCAGTTTGGCACTTTGTAGCCTCAGCCGCCCCACTGTGGCACCTGCTATTCCCAGAAGTCTCCCATCACAGCACTAACCAACCCCTGCACTGCACAGCCTTTGCATTCAAGTATGGCCACAAGTGTCTTGCCCAAGGACACACACACAGCAGACATCAGTCTCATGGTGGGCTCGAATCCACGACTTCCAGGCTCAAAAGCCAATGCTGTAGAACTGAGCCACTGTCGCAGAATAACTGTGTACAAACTAAAGTATTTAACCCTATATCCATCTATTCCTCTTTTAAATCACTTCTAAAAACCCACTTTTATCAAACAGCTTTAAACTGTCTTAAATGCTGTAAAGGGCTTTATAAAAGGAGATCCTCACCGTCGTGTAAAGTTTACTGAGATCATGTGGAAACAACAATCACACACATGCCGTGTGTGATTGTTTTTATCTTGTTTGGTACGGACTACAGTTTTCTGAACAGTGCTATACAGATGTACTTGCTTTTATGGCCTTCAGTCTAAACTACAGCAGGTGGATTGCATCAGTCATCTGTGCTAAGAAGCTACATGTGACACAGACAGGAAGATTCTGGCAACACAAGTGACCACAGTAATACACAATACATATGAAAGTGTGTTCTACCCTGTTGTAACCATCTTAATAATTTAAGATTAGATAAGATGTATGAGTATATTAGTGTCACAGAGAACAAACACACGTCAGAGAGCAGGTTTTCGAGGTTCTCCGAGTGTGAAGCGTGTGAAGTTGTGCGTCAGTAAAGTTCCTAAAGTGATCAGTATGTAAATGTTGTGTGTGCGGGTCTGGAGCACTGGGACTGTAGTTGTGCATGAGGCAAAGACCAAAAAGACAGGAAGGAAAATGAATATTCCTCCAGCCTCCGAGACACTGCTCCAGTCTGAGGAACCAGGGAGTCGTCCTCAGCAGCATCATGGATCTATTATAATATCTGGATAAATTGTCATTGGGTCATGAATTTAACTCATGACCCTTAGGGCCAAAGCTCTACCAACTGAGCAACTGTCGCCTCAGCTGACAGAGAACCTGACAGAGAACATCTTTCATAAAGGAGGATTCTGTGGGACTTTAGTGCATGGATCTATTATATTAACTGGATAGGGTGTTACAGCTTGTAACTGAATAACTAATGTGCTCGGGGGATTCTCGCGGTACTGCAGACTGAACCAGACTAAATTCACGTGGGCTACACAGACATTTTCCCCATAGAACTCAATGCATATTAAAACAGCGCGACCTCAGCTGACAGAGAACCTGACAGAGAACCTACAGCTTTAATAAAGGTCGGATTTTGTGGGGGTTTTAGTGTCCCTTGTCACGTGTATTTGGCGCGACGCATTATGGGAGATCATCCAGTGCGCAGAACCGGGAGGACCAGACGATGCCCAAATACAGGCGAGTTTCCCATAGATCTTTGCAAGTTTCAGGCGACTTCCGCTAATCTTTCAGCCCCCATGCCGTCACAAAGCGCCACTGAGCACAACCATTCATTTGAATAGGGTGCCATCTTGGCTTGCTTTAGTGTCCCTTGTCATCCTGAAATGTTTTTCTTGTTAAATCCATACATTTTCTTTAAATCCACACTTTACTGCCAGAAACTCTGTGCACGCATGAGAGCTACGCACGTAATTGCTGCAAAGCATCATGGGAGCTCATCCAGACGATGCCCAAATAGGGGCGAGCTCTGCTATTATCTCGGATCCCCATGGACGCCATCTTGGATCGCCGGGGCTTGGTCAGCATAGACTGTTTACACACGAGCACTTTGAGGTTTCCTGAAAAAGTAAGGTTCAATATAAAGAGAATGAGTCTGTTGTGTGTGTGAATGGTTGGTGGTGGTTGGAGGAACCAATGTCACAGACCGGTTGCCTCGCTTCTGTCAGTGTGCCCCAGGGCAGCTGTGGCTACAGTAGTCTAGTCTTTATCACTGGCGTGTATGGAGTGAAAAGAAAAGTGTTGTATAAAAACCAATGCATCATTATTTTTATTATTATCATATTTAGTCTCTTCCCAACACCATCTTCCTGCAGCAAAGTAAATCAAAAGTGCGACCATCTGCTGTGCTTCGACATCACACATAAACATCCTCGTAAAATCCTCCGACCACATGTGAATGGAGCTTAACGCCACATTCTGCTCCCCATGACCCCCACACTGCAGCTGTACATGCTCCGCTGGACTGACCCTCTCCTCCCATCTGTCTGGGTCTCATTCGGCCCCTGCTTAGTGCCCAAACACACCTCCAGTTGTAACTAAACGGTGCTTTGACCCGCCTGCTGACCCCTGCCCGCTGACCCCTGCCCGCTGACCGCTGCCCGCTGAGCCCTACCCGCTGACCCCCGCCCGCTGACGCCTGCCCGCTGACCCCTGCCTGCTGACCCCTGCCTGCTGACCCCTGCCTGCTGACCCCTGCCCGCTGACCCCTGCCCGCTGACCCCTGCCTGCTGACCCCTGCCCGCTGACCCCGTCCCAGACCCGGCTGTTCCGCCGTGCACACGACCGGCTATAGATGCAGGAAGTAAAGAGGCTAAAAACACTTTTCAAAACACTGATTGGGAAATGATGTTTTCTCTCATGGTGAGGACATGGAGAGCCTGACACACTGCATTACAGACTATATTCTCTTCTGTGTGGATAACACTGTACCAACTAAGAAGGTGCGGTGTTTTTCTAACAACCACCCATGGGTGACCCCTGAGCTTAAAGCCCTCCTGAACCTCAAGAAAAGGGCTTTCATCTCAGGGGACAGGGAGGAGCAGAAGAGGATCCAGCACGAGCTCCAGTGGAGGATCAGGAGGGCCAAGAAGGACTATGGGAAAAAGCTGGAGCAGAAGCTGGCCCAGGGAAACGCCCGCGACGTGTGGAGAGGCCTAAGGAACATCTCCGGCTTTGGACAGAGTGCCAGAGGAACAGCGGATGGAGACCAGCACCGGGCGGATGAATTTAACCAGTACTTCAACCGGTTTGATTCTCCCCCCTCTCCATCTGCCCCCCCTCCCGCCCCCACCTCTTCACACGTCCCCAGCCCAGTGGACACCGCCCAGTGGACACTGCCTCCGGCTGCCCCGGGCCCTCCTGCCCCCGCATCCCCAGCCCCCACCTCGGACAGTACACCCCAGTCTCCCACCTTCTCCATCACACCGGACCAGGTGAGGAGTCAGCTCCAGCGCCTGAAGCTGAGGAAATCCGCAGGACCGGACGGGATCAGTCCCAGGCTGCTGAGGACCTGTGCAGACCTGCTCTCTGGGGTCCTCAGCTACATGTACAACCTGAGCCTCAGCCTGGAGAAGGTCCCTGTCCTGTGGAAGACCTCCTGTGTGATCCCAGTTCCAAAAACAGCACACGCCAAGGAACCGGCTCACTACAGACCAGTCGCACTGACCTCCCACCTGATGAAGACCATGGAGCGGCTCATCCTCACCCATCTCCGCTCCGTGGTCAGCCCCACCCTGTACCCGCTGCAGCACTGCAGCACTGGGGCCCCTCAGGGCACTGTTCTCTCACCGTTTCTCTTCACCATCTACACTTCAGACTTCACACACGACACACACAGCTGTCACCTGCAGAAGTTCTCCGACGACTCCGCCATCATGGGCTGTGTGTCTGAGGGGAACGAACTGGAACATCGGTCGGTTATCAAGGACTTTGTCGACTGGTGTGAGCGCAACCACTTGTGCTTGAACACCAGTAAGACCAAGGAGATGATCATCGACTTCAGGAGAAAACCACTTTCCCACACGCTGCTGAACATCCAGGGGGAGGACATTGAGCTGGTGGACAGCTTCAAGTACCTGGGTGTTCACATTAACAATAAACTGGACTGGTCCCATAATAAAAACGCCCTGCACAAGAAGGGCCAAAGTCGCCTCTTCCTTCGGAGGAGGCTGAGGTCCTTCTGAGGAGGCTGAGGTCCTTCTGAGTGAGCAGGCCTCTGCTCAGGACTTTTTATGACTCTGTGGTAGCTTCTGCCATTTACTACGCTGCCGTGTGCTGGGCCCCGGGCAGCACAGAGCGGGACAGAAACAGACTGAACAAGCTGGTCAGGAGGGCCAGCTCCACTCTGGGCTGCTCCCTGGACTCTGTGGAGGAGGTGAGGGACAGGAGGGTGCTAGCCAAAGCCACCTCCATCATGGACAATACCTCCCACTGCACAGGACTGTAGAGGAGCTGAGGAGCTCCTTCAGTGGAAGACTGAGGCACCCTCAGTGTAGGAAGGAGCGCTACCGCACGGCCTTTATCCCCACCGCTGTCAGACTGTACAATAAGTCACTTTAAATGATCACTGTGTGAAAACCTGCACTACTATTGACACTGTTTCCAATTGACACTTGTCACTTTTGTTGTACATAATTATTGTCACTTTTGTTGTACATATATATCCTGCATGTAAAATGTTTGCACATTTCCTCCCTTTGCACAATCTGAGTGTTCTATCCATGCCAAATGTGACATGTAAATTTCTCCTCTGTGAGATAAATAAAGCACATCTTATCTTATCTTATCTTAAAGAGGCTGGGATCAGTACAGGCTCAGTGTGAAAACAGCTCCTGTGATAGCACAAGTAAAAGTATAAAGTAAAAGTATAAAAGTGTTGAATGTGTTTGAATGAACCTGCATCAAAACGGAAAAAATCGAAATGCATTTGTGTTGAATAATTTATGGATATATTTTGTTTTATTTCAAAAATGTCCTTTGAAACACTTTAACCTTCAATCTCAAAGTGCAACGTGTATTTTTTAGTATAATTGAGCTAATATGGTAATTAGAGACAAGGCTGTCGGAAGAGTGCAAAACAAGTGTACTTTAGGGCAACTTAGAGAACGTGCAATAGTTTGGTTTACTATGTGCATGTTCTAAAAGTCTGTGGTTGTTCATGTGCAATAACCCTTCATCTTTTGGTGAAGCTCTCGACTTCATGAATGTGAATACAGTCTCTTTAGTCTACGTCTCTGTGTGTGATGTTTTCCTTGTTCCTCTCAGTTATAGAGGTTTCAAAGGGGATGATGTAATTTAATAAAACACACAGGGAAAAAAGCTACAATCTTTTTCATCTGTAGTCAGCCATTAAAATACATCAACATGACAAAAATACTAGACAGAGACAACATAAATCCAGATTAACATTACAGTGTTGACACATTAGAACAACATTCATTCCAGAACACACTGTTTACAAGACTCAAGCATAAAAAAGTCTGTGGTTGTGAGTTCCACTGGTGCCTCTAACGGACCAGACAGACCGACTGAAGGTGCTCTTACTCATGGAGGTCACACGAGTTTTTTCTCCGAGAAGCTGTACAGGCTTACTGCATCTTAACTCATCTGGGAGCTGATTGGCTGAAAGAGAACTGTTGTAAACATGTGACCGAGGCCAAACATGTGAAAACTAGAGACAGAACTGTTTGAAGAGATAGAAACTGGTAATACCAAGATGAATGACAAAGTTCTAAGAATGCCAGCCTATTTCAGAACAGGTACTCCCACAGTGCCAGCCATTTCTGATGATTTTTACTGATTTTTCAAGACCCACAGAATATTGTGTACTATGACTATCTGAAATCCGACACCAGATTCTAAAAGAATGGACTGTCTACTTTCCTCAGCAAAAAGAATTTTGTTTATAGCTTTTTTCGTTCCCTTGTAATCCTCCGTCGAGTAGAGGGAAGTTTTACTGAAATCACCAGAAATCACCAGAAAGTTGAGAAAAAAGAGGCACAACATGTGCACCTACATGTTTTCAAACCATTCAGAGAGCAATGCTGCCACCTGCTGGCTCGATAAAATATGGTCTCAAGTCATCCCCATACATATTAGATACAATAGACATCTGGGAACGTGAAAATAGCAAAAAAGGCAATTGACGGATTAATGCGTCAATGGCACACGATGTTACTATTTGCTTTGACGTATTTGTGCGTCAATGGGACACAATGAGTTAAATGTGGTTTGAAAGTTAGGTACCTCAGCTTTAACCCCATAGCACCCTCGGTTACAAATATGCATCATAAAGTTCAACGGTTATGGCAGAAGAAGTCTGATTTTCTGGTTTAATGCATGGACTGATCTATGAACCCGAGAACCAAATAAGCTAATGCTCAATCTCTAAATGTGGTGTTTAAATGCTGCTTTCCAAACATATTTTTCTTTCATGTCTGGGTTCTACAGGGTTAGGAACAGTTGCCACCTCTGAAAATGATCCAATCCACTTTTTTATATAGCACTTAACATAAGTAAAACATCACACTTTAATCAAAACAATACAATGCCAGTTATCCAATTTTAAAATGAAAGTAAAACTATTTTTTTTAAAAACAGATAAAATAGAGGACCACAAAACTCACGTGGTGTTAAAAGCAGAGAGTAAAAATATTATTGCATGTATTTGGATTTTGTTCATGGGTCTATACGTTTTTACTTCCTTCTCACTCCATTTCGAGCGGACGAATTGTAAACAGAAAAGCATTTGTAAAGTCTTATTGATATCGTTTATAACACATGGGGACACGAGGGCAAACACTGCAGCTTGATTGCAAATGTATGTATATGTAGCTATGTGTTATATTTTTATCTCACAAAAGACAACATGTATACACTAAAATGTAAACTACGAAATGTAAATATTGTAAAAGATTATTATTGTAACATTTCTGCTCGAATTGATAAAATCCATCAATCATCTGACTGAAAACCTTCCAACAGAGAGCTGTTTGGAGGAGAATGAGCGGGACTCGCACTTGCAGTAACCCTCTGTGAACACCAGATGGCGCCGTTGCACCGCAGTGAACGGTCTGCTGTGTGTTTGCTCTGTTGATAAGGTGCTATAACATGAAGCGTGAACTCCTATCTCCATTCTCCGGCTGAATGACTTTTTACTTTGCATACGGTGGCCCGGAGGAGCACGTTTGTCCTTATTTTCTCTATTTGTCGATCCGTTCACCTGAGTCACCTCCCCCCCCCCCCCCCCCCACTCCCCCCTCAGTGTCTGTCTTGTTTCACTTACTTCTCTCTCCCTCTGTTTTCCAAAACTGATTAATGTGTTATTTCTGCCCCGTGATTTCCCCCCACTCTCTCTTTTTGCCCTTTAGGCTCAGACAGACATTCAAGTCGAGTTAATTCAATGTGTTTTTGTAAAGCCCTGACTCACAACAGCAGGACTTTAGCCGTTTCGGATCCGAGAATCAAATAGTTTGATCACAGAAATGCAGACATTGGTCCATAGAGAGCAGGATGACCACTGTCTATACATGTTAATAAATGTTCTTACATCTGTCCTCAGACCCTCCTACAACGGCAAGGAACAAGTCAAGACCCCAGTGGAGAAAAGTTAGAAGCCTTAAGCCTAGCGTACATCGACAGAGAAACTGGGGACAACTAGTTGCAAGGCGGCTTTTGGCAACTGAGAGGAGATGGTGGGAGATGATCAGTTGAAATCGGTCGATGTGCGCGCTCTTACAACTGGAGATGAACAGTCGGTCTCCAGTTTCAGTCAGTTGCCCGTGTTCTACTTTTCGGCAACTAGTTGCCCTCAGTTTCGGAGATATGACCCGATGTGCGCGCTCCATGCGCCGCTCCGACAACGTTTGTGTATTGCGTGTATTGCGCCCTCTACAGTTTATGTCAGAAAACACACTGTAGTTGAGGCCAGTTGCTGTCGATGTACGCGCTGTTATTCCCGAGACTGGTTTGCGACTGGGAGTTGCCCGTTTTCGTCAGATTGTCGATGTGTGCGGGGCAGCAACTCATATGCGACGGATATAATCAGTTGCCAGTCCGATGTACGCTAGGCTTTAGGGAAGCTCACATTTAGAGAAGGATATACTCCTGTAGACCCAGGACTGAGGCTGTAGATCCAGGACTGAGGCTGTAGATCCAGGACTGAGGCTGTAGATCCAGGACTGAGGCTGTAGATCCAGGACTGAGGCTGTAGATCCAGGACTGAGGCTGTAGATTCAGGACTGAGGCTGTAGATCCAGGACTGAGGCTGTAGATCCAGGACTGAGGCTGTAGACCCAGGACTGAGGCTGTAGATCCAGGACTGAGGCTGTAGATCCAGGACTGAGGCTGTAGATCCAGGACTGAGGCTGTAGATCCAGGACGGAGGCTGTAGATCCAGGACTGAGGCTGTAGACCCAGACACCCTCTGCATGACACTATGGCCGCTCAGAGTATTCATCGAAGCAACAGGCTCCTATCACTACGCTGCCGAACGGAACATTTCAAGAGATCCTTTGTTCCTTCGGCTGTCAGACTGTACAACAAACCTGGCTGACTGTACAACAACAAAAAAGAGTCTTCTGCTGCTGGACACATCTATCTATCTATCTATCTATCTGCTAGTTACCATAGCAACACACTTTTTCCTTGCGTTTTGCTATATTTTGTTTATATTAACCAGTTTTAGCATGTATTAAAAATAAAAGCCAAATTGCCAACCACTAATTAACACTAATGAAAACCTGAGACTGTAGATTCCATGGATTTGAGTAGGAGCTGTCTGAATGACTGCTCTGGGAGTTTCAGAACTTTGGAAATGTTAAATAAATAGAAATCAGATCTGTCTATTA